TACAGTTTGCTCCGAAACCGAAAAACAGAGGTGTGACTGTATAAAGGACAACAGAAAGCACCTTTACAAATCGGCGTCAAGTCGAAGTTTAACAAATGTATTTGCTCATACATTGATTTTGCGGGTGTGGGAACAAATCAGAGAGTTTAGATGGCTTTAGCATCGGCGTCAAGTATACGTTCAAACACTGGTCCTCCAAAAGCTCTCTCATACTTCACAGCCTCCTTTTCAGTTTTCCTGATAATTTTATAACTATTCCTGGAAACTTTCTCGTTTGTTTGGCCGTCATAAAAGATCCCTTCAGGAACTTAAAAAGGTCTTTTAACTATTTCCTGTCAAGTCTAGCGGCCACTGATCTGGTTGTGGGAACGATTATGGATCCCGTATCAGTTGCCTTTCACACCAGCGAAGGGCTTCAACTAAACATCGTAGATATCAAAATCTTGCACATTTTATACTTTATTTTGTGCACGGCGTCTATTTTAATACTCATGGCACTTACCGTGGAGAGATATGTGGCCGTATCTTCGCCAGAGAAGTACAAAACAATGGTTACCTCCAAGCGCGCTATTTTAACATCCCTCTTAATTTGGCTAGCGGCACTAGGGTTTTCTTTTGCATACTTCAAACTCGGATTTATATTCTACTCCTTTATATTTGCAAACACTGCTGTTCTCAGCACGTTTGGGGTTCTCATCTTTGTTCATGTAGGAATACTTAAACGACTGCGACAAAGATCGAGATATTGGCGAAAGAGGGGAGAAATGGAGAGCAGGAAGTCTAATTTACAGGAGAACCAGAAAAAAATTGATCAATGCAAAGAAGGACAGAAAAGCAGTCAAAGCATTGATGATTGTGCTTCTTGCATTTTTTGCTTCGTTCACACCAGCCTGTGTTATGATTTACTTTTCAAATTTTTGCACAGGCTGTAGTTGTGCGCTAATTCATTGGTTGCGGGATTTGCAATTCTTAATTGTGTTGTGCAACTCTGGTATCAACCCTTGTTTATACGCATGGAGGCTTCCTCAGTTTAAAAGACCTTTCCACAGATTCCTCCATCTCAAGGCACGCTCTTAGATAAGTGACATTACCATAACATCAGTTTATGCCGCTGGCAAACGGGAAACCAGCCAAATACCTAAAACTTTAAGCGGCGGAGACGAAAGGATTTCACCCGTTTAATAAAACTATACAAACACAAATACACTCACAAAGATAGAGAGTCCTTTCTCATTTGTATCCCGTCGTATGCATATTACTGACATTGCCTTAACTAATAATTTAATGAGTAAGAAGATTTAGTACGTCTAAGAGAGATAATCTTGTGATATTTTCATGTATTTTTTTGTGTTATGAAAGTAAAATGTTTAAGGGGATTGCGGAAACTCTTTGTTTCAGAAATTTATCACCATTACCACTTAGAAAGGACCATCGAACTTAGTTATTTATTTGCTTTCGGGTCGGATTTCGAATGATAAACCAAACATTAAATTCGTTTCCTCATTTTATCAGCAACGATTAAATGAAGTAAGTAAGGTATGAACCCATGTGTAGTCTACACACACAGTGTTGTAACGAATGATGATGAATACGCAGACCACAATTTACAGAGCAGTCCACAAACGCAGTTTTCCCAATATATCAATGACGATTACGTTAATCATTTTATGTATTAAATAAATACATTTAGGCACCATCGTCCCTAAACGATCGTCTTTCAACTGTGGCTAGGAACGGTTTATTTGGCAGACCAAGGCTACAAATCTTGCAGCAACAGCTGCAAACTCTGCACAGTGACGTCGGTTTTCGTTTGGCTGATATCGGAAGAATTCTTGGATAGAGTATTGCTTATGGCAAAATTGGTTTTGGCAAGATATAGACATGGAAGGATGATCCTTCCTTATCTTACTTTCAGTTAACAGTTGTGTTATTCTTAGGGCCCACAAACCATTTTTATTCAAAAGTTTTCATTGGACATAAAAAAAACACATAAAATCATAATCACTAAGAGGTTGAATAAGGGAAGGCAGTTTTACACCCTTTGTATTGGTAAGGCTGTTAGATTTGAGATTACAACTGATTATTGTTACTGTTTCCCAATGACACTGTCATTAGTAATTTTATTTAAAGGGTCCACTGGCAACTTGATCATTTGCTTCTATTTCCGCCAATTTGAAAGTGTTAGTTCTCAGGCTTCTTGTTTAAATCTAACTTCCGGTCATTTCTATTTCCGCTTCCTCATCTTTTAGTTTTATGGAACATGTTTTAGTTATATAAGGTCACGCGTGAATGAGTCAGGAAAGCAATGTATGTTGCGATGTATTCCGGATGAAATTGATTTATTTTATTTTAAGACTTGTATTATAACGCATAACAATAACGTAATTGAGCAAAACATTAATGTATCCATGTTCGATATTTTGTCCGTAAAAGAACCTCATATTGTTGGTGCAGGAAGTATTAAAACATGGTATTAAGTTGCATTATTTAAAGCGCCAATATGGCGCGTATTTAAAATTTATCAGAATGGGTGGTATAAGATTTCGGAACAACTTGCGGATATGTCAATTTTGCTTCCTCGTCTGCCATATTTTGTTCTTTGTTCAGGTAAAACAGACGACAAGCAAATTTTGATAGGAGTCGATTCTGTTTGACTTTGATTTCTTTTTCGTTTATTTCTTTAATCAGTGATAGAAGAGCGCAGCCTTAGCTCTTGTTAATTGTATTACCTTTTAATTTACGAACTATTGACGTGATTAGATTTCTTCATGAGCCAATGGGCTGATTGTGACTGCTCCATGTGGTTCCAATTCTTCTGTAGATTTGGAGATGACGGTGATACGAGAATTGTTCTTAAATACCATATGCCATAAAACCTTTACAACGGGCTTTGTCCGTGCGCCATCTCAGAATTTTCCATGCACAAAGTACTTTCGAGGTTGCCCAGTACTCATTCCATAATGCACGAGGTGCGTTTTATCCAACTTAAAATACAATTAATTTAACTCCTCAACTAATTGTCAGTCGGCGGGTAAGTTGGTAACAACCTAACGCTGTACCAGGGTTTAGAATACAGGTTGACTCTCTTTTTAGATCATCATCAACATTTCATTAATATTATCAAATCATTCTAAGTTACCCGCTTAAATGACTTTGATTAAATTCCAGTGTCCGTTTAAGTTCTGTTCGTTTTATGGACGGCGGGAAAAGGCACTCTAAAAGGCTTCCCTTTGTGCAACTTTAGGAGTGTCTGGTGGGATGGCGTACGCTCATCATAGGTTGGCATTGTTTTCTCTGAAGACGCTAGCAATAATCTCCGATTCAACTTTAGTATACGCTGGAAGAAAAGAAAAAATGTGGCATTAAACTCACATTACAACCAGACATAATAATCGATAACACTGTATCACTATTACCACTAATCTTGAGCATGAGAAAATGGGAGCCAAAAAAACGAAGGTTGCTGAGCCATCGAGTATTTGAAGCTGACAACGATGACTGAAGGTTTTTTCAGTGAAAATCATTTCGAATTCGCAGCCCACAATCGGAGTGTCGACCCTCATTTTAAAGCCCGCTGGTGAAATATCGATTCGCCAATAAGAGTAAAAATATGGGTTTTCTTTGAGCTTATGTCGGCTTTCTCCCAGCTTCTATATAAAAAATTAAAAAAAACAATATGAAACTTGGTGCGCCATAATCTACACTTTTCCACTTGAATTCGACAAATGTACCCAGAAAATTAGTCTTGTCCTTGTCAACTAATCGGTTTAAGTCAACATAATCATATTTAGGAAGAAAGGAGGATGGCGAAAGGCGATGAAGGTTATTAGGACGTATTTAAAATGACGTAAATAAAATATTTGGTTTACGAATGCACTGAATATGAGTAGCTTCTTCAAAGAAGACTGTGTCTCAGTGTCACTCAATAACCGTAGAAACGATCTCACCTCAATCAGCCAGACATGTATTTCCCTCTGAGTTTTCGCTCTCTTTGACAGAGTTTTTCGTTCTTTATAGCAGAGCCTTCGCTGGTAATAGCAGAATCTTCGCTTGTTATGACCGAACCTTCTGCATCCATGGCAGATCCTTCCTCTTTATCTCTTACTCTCAACATGTTTAATGGATTACGTCCGATAAATTCAACATAAAGTCCAAAAATAAGACCAATGTAAGCAACGAAGACCAGGAACTGTACAAACGGCGTCACGTCCATGTTGAGGATGGGTAAAATCATGTTTTGTACCTTTGCAGGAGATTTTTAGGATTTGTTTTGACCATAAGCTTTAAAATTTATGCAGAAACGGGTTTTTCTAAAACTTGGCAGCCGCTATGATGCACATTTCAAATTGAACGCGAACTGGGGGAGGGTGCATTCATTTTCATTTTATAGAGAGGCAGGGGTGGGGTTTCCTACCCGGAGTTTCAAATACTTCTTCCTAATTGACGAAGAACTATTGAGCAACTCACTATATATATTTCGTATATGTGTACTTTCCTCGTAGTATGGGGTGCTTTTCATCTAAATTCAGTAAATCAACACAACTCTCAAACATCTTGCAGTAGCAAGAAGAGGGGAAATTAAAAGTGTTTTCTATACATTTCATTTTTTCTTTTTCAACATTTGTAATCTTCAATTTAAAGCGTCAGTTGCAGCTTTCCTTATTGTTTTCCCTACCGCAGCCCTTGAAACCCCTTTCCCTATATACCTTTAACCTGAAACTTTCTAGAGGTGCAACCCTGTCTATATTCTATCGTAGGTACTCCCTCCTTCTCTTAAGGAAAGGCATAGAAAGCAATATTTAATAACCTGGAAGAGAAGTGTTATAAGAACGCCTTCTCCGTTAAGAGACACTCGCTCACTTTAAAAACAGTAATTTTGAAGAATGTTCATGGTTTCGAATACGAAGATTCGTTACCTACAGTGCCCCAGTTAAAATTGCTAGAGAAGAAATGATGTTTGAGTTTGCCATGATGTCTTCAACAGGAACCAGCAGCTAGATTCTTGAATATTAATTCACGAAAATGCAAATTTTTAGTACCCTCTCTTGAATCATTAAAGCAAGCAACGTTTAAATCTGTTTTGTGCGTTTTACCGTTCACACTGTGGTTTACCTTTTTTTAAAATAAAAAAGCCACTTTTTTGATGAGAATTTTGCAAAATTGTGTAATTCCAGTGACATATCGCTTCACCATAGACACTGTTTGCATTATTTTCATTATCATCTTTGTTATAATCAATATCTACATCATCATTTGCCAGTTGAAAAATATGAAAGACGATGAGAGAAATGGCCAGCCATATTATTATGATTGTTTTGTCTTGTTGAGTGCACGCAGTTAAGCTTTATCAGTATTAAAACTAATTTGCGACGGAAAAAAGAATAAAAAATGAAGAAAATATGTTATAATTACGGTCTTCGCGAAAGCACCTCATTCTTCCTTGTCTTTCGATTTTAGTATCCCTACGAGCGCTTAATTTGTTATTTATTCATTTATTTGTCCATTCGGTTTTTTTTTTTGCGGATGTCTTTTCTCTCGCGCAACGCAATCCTATAGAAAACCATTATTCTGACGTGAGCCAGTCCGGAAAAAGCCGCTCGGTTCTGCACTTGCACAGCTTTGTCGACGCTTTTAAAAAAACGTGAAATTTCAACGAGGACCGAGACCGCTGCATGTTTTCCCTTTTTATTCCACTGGCTGGGAGGTTATGGCGCATGGATTGCTAAGATCAAATCACAAGAGGAATTATGTTACGAAGCAGAGCTACCTTAATGTCGAATCGAAACAAAATTGACCATTGGCAGCCGACTAACGTGCTACATTGCCGGGAAGCGTCGCAATTCGACACATGATTCGTGCGATATCGTTCGTTCGATCTTATCCGTTAGTGTGAAATTTAACGTGAAATTCTCTGCGGCAGGTGATGGTATAAATTTCACTTTATGGTTAGATGTTGACAGTTCTGATGCCTATCAGCCATCAGTCTTGGCACGTTTTGACAAAGACGGCCCACATCTATCGAAACCGTCAACATTTGAGTATGCCAAAAAAACTACCGGCTGCAGGGAAAGAAGTTATATAAAATAGTTTGAGCTTATTCCAGCCTGATTACATTCTTCAAGACTTAAGCTATATATGTATAGCTCTGTAGCTCAAACTGATAGGGATTTGTTGCCGTTCCATAATTCTTTAAATTAAGGACCAATATCATGCCTTTCTTCAATGGTGAAACAAAAATGACTGCAGCAGCTGTGTAAGCGAAAAGAACCCTTGATGTTTACTTGGGGATGCATCAGGCTCATAGTAAATTGTGAATGAAAATTTACCGCGAATTACAGGGGCAATAACTCGTGTTTAATCAAACATCAACACAAAGGCCTCGAGATAAACCCCTTCATTCTAAAGATCTCATCAGTAATTCTCCTTGAGTCAACTGATAATCTACTAATTAATATTTTTCCTTATTCTCATCAGTTGTTTGTTTGATATTGTATTGAAATCGTGAAAAAATAAATGGAGCGAATCCTAAACATTCTCCATAGAGAGCACAGGCCTTATTGAATTCAAATAGTTTATAGATTTTCACACAATATAACATCAATGATAGCGGCTGAGGCATCTACATCTCAATTTTGTCATTTAGGAATGTAATTATGCTTTAAGTTCAAGTTAGCTGTGTAGTCTTCACTACAGTGAACCTATTTCTTTTGTTCCATTCCACATCTCAGCTCGCGGGCTCGTAAGCAAATTTCTCTCCGGTAATGTTGCTCACGTTTTGCCTACAAAGATTCAACAAACATAATCTTAAAATTTCTCTTTAAAATTATTCGAAAAAAAAAGAAATAAAAAACAAGACCGTTCTGACGAATATTTTGAGTAAAATGCATGGAAAGAACCGAATGACTTCTTACTCCAATTCAACTATTTGGATATTGAGTTAACCAGACAAACCGATGAGACCATAGATTAAAAACCTGTATTTACCTCCTCCAAGCGCCTACGGATGTTCATCTTCATCATTTCTAAATTTCTAACTCCTTCTTCATCTCTAAACTTTTCCGTAGGCTCTTCCTAAAACAATTTAAAACGGCTTTTAGTGAGAAAAATGAGTTGAACAATTAGGATCCTTCAACAATGACGTGAATGAAATGATAAAGAAAAAACATTATTGAAAGATTCCAGCTCATTTTGACATGACTAAATACATAGATAAGGTATTTCTTCGCTCAATAACAAGTGTTCCTTATTGGAAATTCTCCTTTTGAAAGGAAAAAACATTGCCACTCCTGATCAAACCACTTAGAATATTCAACTCAAATTAAACATTAACACCATCTAAAACATTTTAGGTGGATTGAAAACGAGAGAGATTTCTACTTATTCATGTACTTTTTTTCCATCGCAATTATTTCTCTCAGTGCAGTGAGAATTAGATATGAGACCCTCAACTAACATCGAAGAAAGGAACAGAGCAAAAACACAAAGTGCTGTAGTCTTCATCTCGCTGACACAAGCTTCAGTGAATGAAAAGTTCTGGTGTATATATTAATCGCCGGCGATCCAAGATGTTTGCAGCTGTATAGAAACGTTTTACCAGCTCAGCTTGGAGATAATTAACTACTTTCAGATGTCAGTTCAATCAATACTTCGCTGTGTAAACTGAGTAACCTAAGACAGATATTTTGCAAAGGCAAAGAAAGTTAATGAGGTGAAACCAACTATGAGTAACATGACGGACGAGTAAGGTCTTTGGCTAAACGGCAGTTGAGGTCCTCTCGGCTGGCTGGATCACGCTATTCTCTTTCTTTCCTGCATCTTACTGTTATATTTCAGAAGACTATGAAGGAGGCCATACTAACAACGCTGCTGACGGATTTTTCTGAGTTCAAATAAATCGCACTATTGAATGTACAAACTCGTGTGCCTTTAATGTAAGATTTTGTTGCGTCCCGAAAGATATATGTCACCGTGAGGGGTTTTCGCGTCTGACTTACATACTTCCGTATATTTCAAGTTGTCATAGGCTATTGTCAAATAACATTGTTGCTGACTTTCTATAAGGGTATTTTCAAGATGTCGCGATCAGAAATGATTTTTCGTCTCTTTCTTGATCAAAGTGAATTTCATAGCCGGGAAGGGTTGCGGAACATTTTGAGTTCGTTTACGCGCTTATAGTGACATAATTACTGAAGATTAGCGGCAAGGCTGTAGAATACCTCTATCCAAACACAGCTGTCGGGCCTTTTAATTTTCCTTTATTTTCAAATTTAAGGCTACTTTTGTTTAAAAGGGTGTAGAAATAAAAATCCGCCGCTGTTATTAAGTTTAGCAACTTCTTTATATATTACTGCGACATTAACTTTTAAGAACAATTCTGAGAGTTTATTATTTTCATATAGCTTTTGAGCTCTTTTAAAATGTATAGATAGATAAAGGTTATTTTCTAGGCGCCAGTGCGAAAGAGCGCGTCTTTATGCTGTCAACCTTAAAATCCACCTACGATGATTGCCTAACTTTTTTTCCTCCACGAAAATTTTTCTACATATTTTCCACCGTTTCTTCAGCTGTACGATTTTCATTTAACCAGGTACAGTTTGCATTAGCATCTTTTAGTGAAGTTCTTCCTCCCATGCAAATGGAAACTAGCCTTCAAAACGCAGTCATTTCAAACTGTTTTGTATCGCGGCCGAATGTAATTGGTTGGAGCTTGAGTTACCGCTCAATAATTAACTGGGACTTCTCAAAGAAACTTATTCAAAGTAAGTTTTAACATTCTTCGACGAACAAAAATTTTAAGATTGTGAATATTATTATTATGGTGATTAACTCCTTTTGAGCTACCTCTACAGAAATAGAAAAAAAACTTGACTGATACCTTAGGAAGTGTTAAAATCTAACATGCTCACGAGGAATATAGCCTTGGGTCATATCTGCAAGTAAATAAAAGAACGTTACTCGAGAATCTGGTGTTAACCTGAATACGCTAATGTGGCGAAAGTAGATACAGCTGGTGACACGACATATACATGTCTATCGTGTCTTATGCCTTCCTTGGTTTTTTGAAAAATTGCAGAGCTACAAGCTTTTCATTATAAAAACCATCGCAAAACTTAAATACCTTAATTTTGAATACCCTAAGAAGTGTTAAAATCTAGCATGCGCACGACAGTACTCAAAAAAGTGAAGAACTGGATAACGAGAATTTTACAAAGCGGAATTCTTTTTGTCAACGAACTTGTTACTAATTCAAACAGAATCCCTTAGAATTTCAGATACTTATGTAAATAAACTATCTGGAAGAAGCCTGTCAAACATACACATTCTGATTAATGAAAATTGAATGGTTTGTTCCACGACATAGAGTCTCTTCTATGGAAGCGTCAACTATCAGTTACAGATAGCGCCGATCAAAAAGGTTAAAGCTGACACCACAATTGATATTGACTCTATATTGCGAGGTATTCTCTATCATTTCAGCCAGAACCTTATAACCTCGAAGAATTAAAACATTGTCCATTTGATGCTTGATTTTGCATTTCGCTTTATCATTCTTTGCTGCAAAGGCGAGCACCATTTTGCATTCAAATTTCATGCAGTTCAGTTTTATGCCGCTATACAGCACGACAGTTGACGTTTCATCCTGAAAGCATTTGATCGGAACCTGACTGGTTCGCCAAACTGCATGACGATGCAAGTGTTATCAGTAAGGGAAAAAACTGATATTTCTCAATGTCTTGAAAAACCTGCCCAGTTAAATTTGAGCAAACACTACAGGAAACAAGCTTATTCTGTTGGCGCGTCAACACGCCGGCCTGGCCGTTTAAAATTTTGCGGCGCAAACTCAAATATAGTGAACGCACGTGTACGATGTGGTTACAAACTATATTGAATTCAAACATTTTATTTTCACGATAAACAATTCCGTAGCAGCTTAAACGTCTACAAAACACTAGACTCAATTCTTTTGTTCATTTCACATTCCAGCTCACGGGCCTTTAAGCAATTGTTTCTCTGGTACTGTCGCTCACGTTACGCTTTAGGATTCAAGTTACAGAAATTAAAAATTCCGCAAACTTCTCCATCATATAACAAGGAAGTGCTGAGATGAATCTGTTCTGATTGGTTCTTAATCGGAAACGGTCAGTAACCGTGAATTTTTATTCTCGAAAACCTGCAAATTCAAAATTTGCAATTAAAACTGTAAAGAAACAAGTCCGGCAACAAGTCACCAAACGACTGATTACAATGAAGGACGACGAAAAAGAATAAGATCATTTACCAAGCAAATAAGATCATTTACCAAGCAAAAACTGAGCCGATAAAAGCGAAGAAGAGGATTTAAAGCTTAGTGATTAAGAACAAGTCTCTGTAAGAATCAAACATCTTGGGAAATGAAAATTTTCAACCCCCCTTCAAATTTTGCATGCAGTTAGGCACTCAGGGAGGATGCACAAAAATGCTCTTTTTAAAGGTCGCAGCACTCTTGTTGCCATGGTAACAACGGCTGCTTGTTCGAGGCCTGGGGCCTCCTTTTCATACAAATATAGACATACATCCAGATTTCGAGTGCTGCACCTTCTTTCATGGGAATTTGAGCGATCCGAAGTCCTCTGAAGATACACTGATATACTTTGAAACAAGTTGAAGACGGCTGATCTACACGAAACTATCCTCACACCGGTCATTTGTCATAAACATGTACGATGGCGTGACGCTGTGTTTTTCTATGAAGTTTCCATCGATCGCCCCAAAGAAGACGAGAAATGAACATTTTTGGATATATCAGCAGATTTCCGCGCATTCTAAGTAAAAACAACCATAAAAAAAGAAGAAAACCTCAATTGAACGCTCGTAAACACTGATAATCTAAGAGCAGAAATCGCAGCTTATCAGCGGCAGTACTACATGTAGAACCCAGTCGCCACAACAGCAATTTGTACGATTCGCGCGAAAATCATCACAAAGTGGAGATTTTGAACTACTCAGTATCCCTGCAGTACAGAAAACGGAACAGGGATTTCATCACAATCAATTTCCAAAATTTAGCTTTTTTCAGGGAGTCTTTCACGTGCTCGAACGTTATATTGGCTTTGAGCCTTGAGATTTATTTCCCTTGACAATAAAATGCTATAGAAAGTGCTTACAAAATTACAAACTATTTTTGATGTCGCTTGGACTAAGAAATACAGATTTGAAATAATTAATGCTGTCACTGAAGAACCAATCTTCCAACCAATCTTCTCAGCTACTAGCTTGACAGTCTCCACAGACTAACGGTTATTAGACCGAACGATCTCCTTTTTCTTCCTGGTGAGCCGGCCACCTCAGGGGAAAATTAAAGAGACCTTTGACTTCCTCTCATGTAAATCACTGGGAGATAGCGTTATATTAATCTTTCTTTAAGCTTGTAAAAGATACCCGGAAGAAAAGTATGGAAAATAATGGTGATGAAATCGCTGTTCTTTTTCCTGAAGGACATGAAGCAATCCAGATTACATATTAACCATGGGGAGTTTCGTTCAAGTGACAAGTTGTGATTTGCGTGTGGATAATAAGTTGTTTGAAAGGTGGAATTATGACATTATGATTTCATTAAATCTTTTATTTCGAACTTTGTTATGATTTTTTCTTTATCAAAACATGGAAGGAAACATTGATTGACTCGATAGCACTGCGGCGGTGACAAGTCTCTCCTCGACATATCTTATGCAAATTTTTTAACAGTTTTCTGACAGTTTTCAGATGAATTGAAATATCTTAGTTCCTGTCACAAGGAAATGATAACTGCCCGTATCTGCTCTTTGTAAGGAGATGCCTATGTCGTTCAAATTAATTTGGTTACAACTGGGTTTTACATGTAGTACTGCCGCTGACAAGTTACGATTTATACTCTAAGATTCTAAGTGTTTACGAGCGTTCAATCAAGGTTTTCCTCTTTTTTTTTTTGTTTGTTTTTACTTCAGAAAGCGCAAATCTGCTGACATATATGAAAAATATCCATTTCCTGTCTTCTTTGGAGCGACCGATGGAAACTTCATGGAGAAATACAGCGTCACGCCATCGTGATAACGTACATGTTTATGACAATTGATCGGTGTGAGGATACTTCAGTGTAGATCAGCCGACTTCAACATTTCTCAAATGACATACATGTATATTAGTGTATCTTCAGAGAGAAGTATCTTCGGGTTGCTCAAATTTCATGAAAGAAGGTGCAGCATTCGGAATCTTGGTGATATGCACACGATTTGAGGTACATGTTTTAAGTTACGTCGAGTAGTCCTCCATGAAGTTTGATCAATTTTTTTTTTAAATATGACAACCAGAGGCGAGATTTCTCTTCGGGATATTGCTCATAAGATAACATTCTTCCAAAGCCGTGCATGTTTCATTTGTCTGAAACATTTGTTGTTGAGAACATCAGATGTAAACATCGCCAAATTATGCAATATCTGATTTTGAGCTTTTTTCGCGAATTGCCCCTATAAAAAGTAGAAGCA